TTGACCTGAGGAGTGTTGGGTCAAAGGATGTCCAACCGAGAGACATTAAATATACTATATACGTGGTGTGTGTGTTTTTGTGTGTGTGTTGGAAAGGTCAACTAGCAGGTTTTTCTGTGCATCTAAGTATAAAATTGATAGTATGTGACAGCTCATACAAGCCACAATGACTCACAGGGAGAAATCCCCTTGACCCGGTGAAGGACAGGCGCACACACACACACACACACACACACACACACACACACACACACACACACACACACACACACGACCAGTCCAATTTAATAACAGTTGTCAAAGTAGCATGACTCATGACTCATGATGTGTTAAGGGCCTCTGTTTAAAACTCAGTGTAGGTCACAGATACACACTGACCACATAACTACTCTGCTTGAATTAAACGAAATTAAAATATTTGCTGAAACTATCAGGTTTTTCTGCCTCCTCCTAGTGCACCTAATAACATTTGCAAGAATCCATGGGGCCTGGCAATTTAGCTATGGCAGCTTTAATGAAAACCAATAACTATAGAATATTAGGAAAGAAAACTGTTGCTGTGACTGCTGCGAGACTCACCTACAGTGGGACAAAGGTCAACTCACATTATGCACACACACTAAGATAGAGGGATGTAGAGCATCAAAGTGCAGAGCTCTTCTTCAATTCGATCACTGGAAATAATGAATACTGACACTGTTGATGACATCATCACTCGCCAGACTGGAGCTGGGCCGACTTTCTCTCAATGACATTGCAAGAATAATAGTAGAAGCAGTGGCAGAAGCAACAATACCAGTAATAATTGTAGTGATAACAGTTTATTTTGGCAGTATATTTACATATTTGACTGTAATTGAGTGCAGATGAAACACAATTTTTTTTTAGGTGCACTGAGGTAATTTAGCATATTATGCACTATTGTTATTCCATGTCCGGTTAGACTTTCAAAATAAAGCTTGTGTGGCTAACAAGTTCAGAATATCCATTACCATACAAACACATTGAATCAATCTCATCCCAGTCTCTATAAACATATGAACCATTGCTTCCTCGTGCTTATTGTGTTGAAAAATTTGACCAAATTCACAAAGACTAAAACTAAAGACATTTCCTGTATATTCTTATTTTATTTTCTTAGTACACAAAATCATTTTAGTTGGTTTCGTTTTCAGTTTAGTTAACTTTAAGTGTAAGTTAAGTACATGAATAAAACGTAACTAACGTATGCTGTCGCTTGGTCAGTAGCCCTACACTACAAAATATGATGTTGTTGGTATCCTTCTAGCAGCGTTCTAAGCTGCTGAGATCGTCTACATGATATAAATGTTTAAACTTTTGTCAATATGGACATGCTGCACATCATTAGATTAGTTTGATTCTCCACAATTCAGTCCATCACTTAATTTTACAGAAACCATGAGTACCAACGTAACAAATGATCAAATTAATTATTCCTAATTGATATGTTATCAATAGCATAATTAATTAAAGGCCTGCCCCATAAAAAATGTAGGTTGAGTTCAGTGATTGAAGCAAATAAAAGCCTGGGCTATTAACTCAAGTTTTACGGGTGCATAAGTTACGTTTTATTCATGTCCTTGAGTTACATCAGGTATGTAACTTAACTTATTTTCCTAATCCTAACCAAGTAGTTTTATTCATAAACCTTACCAAACTGCAACTGTTTCACAATGTTAACCACTCAAGCTTTATTTTGAAGGTCTAACCAGAGGTTTCTGCCAGTCCAGAAATGACTCCAGAGAGCCACAGGTGCAGCAGTCGAGCCTGGCCACCAAAAAAGTGTGTTTGATACATCCTTGATGCACTGAGCAGGACGCATTTCACTGTGATCTGCACTTTGCTCAGTGATTGATGAAAATAGAGCCCACTGTGTCTCCGATGAGAAAGTGTGTTGGTGTGTGTGTCAAACAGCAGTTTACAGAAGAAGACAAGGACAGAGAGCCTGACAGGTCATGTATCAGCTGACTGCTTAAGGAAATGTGGACCATTACGCTGGGTTCTTTCAGCAGAATGTGCTTATTAATTAAGACTTCTAAGAATATAAACAGAGCACCTTCATTTACCTGTTAATGAAGGATATAGAAGCTTGCAGAATGCTCTCTGCCGTGTAGCCATTTTACCCTGGAAGTGTAAAAACATGATCCTGAAAGAGAGAAATAGAAACATTTGATCTGGCCTTGGAGGAGATCGTGCACTCTAATGAAAAATAAAGTTAGGCCCTCAGAGGCTGTCTATTGCCTTAAGCTCTTTCTCTCTGCCCCTCCTCCCTCTGTCTTCTCCAAGTTTGATATCATGCCACCAAAACGAGGCCCGATTGGATAGATATCACATGGTTGCTGTTAAGGAAACAGCTCTAGTGTGGAGGCTTAATCCTAAAACACATTGTCTGCTCATAGGTCTGCAGCTGTTTGACAAAATACACTTAAATGACATACTCTGTTAAGAATTGTATGGAACTATTGTATGATGCATGTTTCACCTGCAGAGCTAAAGGCTATATTTAAGCAGCCAGACCAGCCCATTCTCATTCCCAGGGCATCAAATACCATAATTTTGTCACACCTCGAATGCAAGGTACCCTTTCGCATCTGTTTAAGATAGGGTTGGGCAATATGTTCAAATTTTCCCGATGCCCAACCTCCCTCGTTCCTTTACCTGCTTCATGCCTCTCCTCTCCTGGCCTTTCCCTCTCCTTTCCCAATCATCAGACTAACCCTTAGTTTACCAGCAGTTAGTTGTGGAAATACACTGGCTCTACAGCTGTTTTTCCTCTCACTTATTCTTCAGCTCAGTGAGTGTACTGCACTGCTGAACGTCTGTCATTCTTCTGAGACAGACCATTAACTTATCAAAATAAAAGGACAAAAATTGGGCAAAAAATTCAGCCAAAAAAAACATTTGACAGCAGCCTAAGCCAGTCAGAGGTAGAGATTGGCAGCTGGGCCGTTGCCATAATAAGATTTGTGAAGAGGCGGCATGGGATGAGAACGTGTTGGCCAGACAGACAACTCTGGCAAACAGTACCATCCTCCACAAATGTTACAAAGCAGACCTTTTTCACAGCAGCCATGTGTACATTAATTAGTAGGGTGAACAAAGGTGTTTCCAATAAAGGTTTGATTCCATTCAAGTAAAACAGAGTCTGTTGTGCATGATGGCTCACTAGAACGACTCTGCTACATTAAATGGAACAGAACCTTGATTATACATTTCCTCTCTTTAGCCCTTCTTTCCTCCTATCAGCTCTCTCATCTCATCCCCTCTTTGGGCTTGTCACCTTCTCTCCTCTTCTTTTCACCTCACCTCACCTCACTTATTTATGCCTTTCTCCCTCCGGCTATCATCCTCCTCCTCAGCTTTCTTTCTTTTCTGTCATTCCTCCCCTGTTTTCTATCTATCTATTACTCTCCATCTGCTTTTCTTTCCTTATTTTCCTCTCGCCCTTCTGTTTATTTTTTCATCCTGTAGTTCCAGTGGCAGATCTGCCAGCACTTCTCTAAATACAGGGGAGAAAATAGAAAGATGCCCTGAGGAGGGACTTAACATATCAGCTCATATTTACACACAGTCACAGCTGTCTGGTGGCATTTCACCACAGAGATTTTAATAAAACATTAGGAGCACAGGAAGGAAAATTCTGAATATTTTTAAAAGTCAAACTAAAATAATGTAGATTTGCTGTCAGGAGAGCGAGAGTGTGGAAAAAGTTTTTATCCTCATAAACATCTCTGAGACATGCGTATGAGTTAAGTCTTGTTTTATGTCATCACATGAGTGCAGTCATGTGCACACTAAAACAGATCGCACACATCACACATTTTTACACGCAAAGTTTAACCTTTACGCGCAAAACCAGTCTCTTCATTAAGCACAGGAAAGCTGATGTTTCAGATACAGTAGAAGGTAGGAGCATTTGATATGCAAAACTCCAGTCAGTACAGACTTTTTGGGGCTATTAATGCCTGTATTTGATTGGGCAGGCAAAGATAGACGGGGGGGGCACAGGTTGGAATCGAACCTGGGCCGCTGTGACGAGGACACCCTACACTGTTAAAAAGACTGTAGATTTTACATTGAAAAACTCTCAAATGACAGTTAAAGACTGTAAACTCTAAATAGGTTAAATGTAGTTTCTGTAACAGTAAAACATACGCCATATCTCGTGGCAAAAACCTCTTTTACGGAATTCATAGCATATGGTATTTTTATAGTGCAAAACTGTTTCTTTTGATGGTAAAAACTATTTATACGGTAGAATATGGAATAAATCCACAGTACTAATATCCTTTTACTGCAATAGTAGAAAATGTTCTACCGTATTTATAATGGTAAAGTTCTGGCAATCACACCTACCAGTTTTTTACTATAAAAATAACAGTGACATGGGACACGCACTCTACCAGGAAAGCTACCGTGCCCCCCAACTCTTTATGGTCGCTTGTATGAAAGCAGGGTGCATCATATTCATGCAACTTTACTGTAACACACAAGTATGTCAAACACAAGCTCTGGTGCTTGTTAATGATGATAGTCATATTATTCATCTATAATTATATTGGCAATTTTAATTTAATTAATAGTTTAACTTGACAAAGTTCAAGTAGGAATTATTTGAAGGACCAGTGTGTAGGACTTTGTGGCATCTAGGGTTGAAGTTGCTAATGCAACTAGTAGAGCACTACTCAGCCTTCCATGAGTGTAGGAGAAACTACAGTGACTGTGAAACACAGAATTCCCTGTCTAGACCCAGTGTTTGGTATGTCCCTTCTTGGCTACTGTAGAAACATAGCAGACTCAAAATATCCACTTTGCCTTAAAACGTACCTGTAAAATGTTTAAAGGTGAGCAGCTTTTGTGAGTTTGAATTCACGGGGAGTTTTCCATGCGTCTTACCTGAAAAACTGCCAAAACTGGTGATTTTACAAGATGTTAAGAAGTTCACATGATCAAATCCTTGCATCTCTCTCCCTTGGCAGATGTATGTGACATGCACGGTGCAGGCGAAGGGCACCCGTCTGGCCAAGCCGGTGCTGTCTCTCGGGCTCATGTGTCTGGCATTCCTCACCGGTCTGAACCGCGTGGCCGAATACCGCAACCACTGGTCGGACGTCATTGCCGGCTTCATCATCGGCACGGCTATCGCCACTTTCCTGGTGAGACTCACGGCCACAGAGGTCATAATAGGTGCTATATGTTTGTGTAGGACAGATACACACAGACATACATACACACACACACACATATATATATATATATATATAACAGGCAACTTCAGCTCTCAGTGGTTAGGGACTTATTTTACAGTGGACAGTGGGACTTAAGTTTCAGCAAATAAGACAAAAAGCTACCTACTGCAACTTTAATTATGCTTTTATCAATGACTGGTCTTCATTTGATCATGCTGACCATGCCCCTGACATGTGGCAATAATTTTTCTATTTGGCACACAAATTAAATATCAATAATTAATCAGAATAGATACTCATACATTCTATGTAAATACTCCATCCACCAAAACAAAAGTCATTGTTTTGGCCTGTAAACAAGTTAGGCATTGCACAACATCCATTTAGCTGCAGTCCACACAGCAGCATGGTGTATCTCCTTGCTGTCAGTCTGTTTTGGCTGTATGGCTGCACATGTTTTTATTACCTGTTTTCCTCCATGGAGACCTATAAAGGCTTGTGTTCCCCCGATAGCTGTGCTATCATGAAGCACACTGCGATGATGAGTGGGACCCAGATACAGCGTGTTTCCTAGCAGCAGCTGAACATCATCTCTCTCCCTTTTTTCCCTTTCTCGTCCTCTTTCTTCCTCTTGTGTTGGACAGAGAAAGGCCTGTACGTACTCAGCTGTGAGTGTGAGCAGAGGTGGAGGGGCTGTGATAAGGCCTCGCTCTGCCTCTTCACACAGTGCTCCATTAATGCTGTTTAAAGACCACAGTGGCCATTAGTGATGGACAGAGACAGGAAAAATAAAAACATCCTTTCTTTTAAAGTGAGAGACTGACAGCTTATTCTCCCCTTTCTCCTTGTTTTCTCCCCTCTCCTCCTCTTCTTTACTTTCCTCTCTTTGTTTCGTCTCCTCTCCTCCCCTGTTCACTGCACTTCACTAATCTCCTTGTTTCTTCTCCTTTCCTTCTCCTCTCCCCTCGATTATTGATTCCTCTCTTCTCCTCCCCTCTATTCTTGTCTCTCTGTTTCGTTTCTCTTCCTGCCCATACCTTGTTTACATCTCATCTCCTTCTCTCTCTCCTCTTCCTCTCCTCTACACTCCACTCCTCTCCTTGATTCCTCTCTCCTCGTCTCTATTGTTTCCTCACCCCCTCTCATCTCATCCCGTCTCTTCTTCTCTGTCCTGCTATATCCCCCATCTTCTCCTCAAACAAATAGCTCTCATTATAACATGAAAAGTGAATCAGAGAGCAGATTGGCCCTCTCCTGGCTTTGCAGGGATTCTATTTTATATGTGCAAATGATCTTCACCGGAGACAGCTGATCTATTGGGAGCAATAAAGCCTCTAAAGGGCCTGCAGATAGGCTGTGGTGCATAACAACGTGGTTTTTGGAAATCAAACTCATAAATGGAGCCTTCTAATTTAGACAAATAAATAGAAAATTGGTGCTCAGACAGATTAACATGAGGAATCCTGATAGGAAGATAAAAACACAATTCATATGTCAGTAATAAAGTTGGTGCTACCTGGGACTTTATTCTATAGAAGAAGAAGATTTACTTTATTAATCCCCATTACTAAAGTAAATCTTCAATCATTTTAAAGCTGCACATGTGGTTTCTGCTGCTGTGTGAAGGTGCATATATTTAATAAAGGGAAAAATCTGACTAAAAGTCTATAGAGCTCTGTGTGTGCATCTTTGCAAACTAAAACCATGCAAACTATGGTGTTTGCAATTCTGCAATTTTCATTACGGACCAATCTCTCTGCTGAAAGGAGGAGAAAAGACTTAGAACACCGGAGACAGCTGCAGAAATCGCTGCGCTCACTGTAAAAATAATGTAACTGATATTATTATACATGCATCACCTGAATGTGTTTCAGGTCCAGGACTTCTTCTACTGCTGCTCCACGTTAAATTCTGCTCTGTTACATTAAAATACCACCCGACCCCTTGCAAAAATAAAAAATACAACTCCAAATCACAGAGATGTTTATTCAGACGAGACGAATATTATCACAGGACTTCTGTGTTTTCTGAAATATGGTAGGTAATTTTTGGTGGAATTTTTACTTTACAATCTCCCCAAGAGGTCCCCTGATAATATTAATCCTGTGCAAATAGGGCTTAATCACAACAAAAATAAAGCCACTCAGCTTAGCGACAGAACTCCTAATTGATCTTGAGTTACCAGAGTTGTATTGACTTCCTAATAGGTATAACGTCTATATATTCAGACAATGTCTCTAAATTAGTGTAAAACAATATTTGTTGCACCAGAAAGAATAGCAGTTCCAGTTGAGAACTGGTTCCAAATTGTTCAATCCATCAGAATCGTATGCCTCAATGACATCAAACTTGTGTCTACGCTGCTGGAAAATTGCAACAAGAGTGACGTTGGAGAGGAAGAAACAGTCCAAAACATGTATTTATTTAATGGAGAAACTCAAACTACTATAAAAAACACAGTGTTCAGACTCTGAGATAATGCTTAGAATAAAAACATTTTTTTTTCCACACATAAAACTGATTAGGAATCAGTTAGAGAATTGACAACGAATCAGACTGATAAGCAGAAATGATAATGGTATTGGTATCAATAGAAACGTGTAAATCCCGTCTCTAATCCCAGTTCAGTTGGTGTATGACTCCCAGTTTGGCCTTTGGCTCATGGACCAAAACTGAGAAAGAATAGAAATGTGTTTCAGATTAATCACTTCTCTCAAGTTTGCTTGTGAACCTCCATAAGTTCCCAGGTTGCACTGCTCTGTAGGATATGTGATGCACTGCAGAGTACTCCAGTCCTTTCACAGAGTTTCTGTGCATCTCTTCTCTGCTCAGCCAACTTGAAATTGGTTATTTCATTTTGAACCTCAAAGCCACGTTTTACTCCCTATTAGAGCAGCTCATGCAACACCCACATCCATCATAGCTACAGTAGTACCCTCAGGAAAAAGTCAATACACACATATGTGACCTACATACTTGGGTTACTCTGTTAATCCAGGCAACCGCTCAGGAATCTCTATCAGTCCTTGAAATTCATTTACACACACATCTGTGTCCTGTGTGTGTGTGTGTGTATCACTAGGCTGTGGGTTCATTTTTATTTATGTGTGTATTAAGTTCGCTGTGTGTGTTTTGTAGGTGGTGTGTGTGGTCCACAACTTCAAAGGCAAGTTGCTGCTGAGCGAGGAGTCACCAGTGGATCAGCGGCCCAACACAGCCATGCTTAACATGGGCCGAATGGAGAGTCCTCTGGAGAAGTATATCGCGTCACAGGTCAGCACAACACACCTGCACTCAGAATACACACCTTTATATGCCCTGAAAAAAGTCTGATCACGTTTTCATGCTGCAGTACTGTGTGTCTGTATATCAGCTTTAGACCAATATGGTTCTTTCAATGCTCATAAGGCTAGTAATATATATCATAGAAATCATAGCAATAAACATAGACTCCGTGATGGCACCCACTTGCGACTCAAAGTGACCATAACCCTAACCCTAGCCTTAATGCGTAATCATGCATAACTTTAAGCCTCAATATATTTTAAACGGGTGAGTAATATACAAAGTCACCCCCCGTACAGTTAACATGAAACAGGGAAATTATCTATAGAGACCAAAACAGTATTTTGTACCAGGCTGTAAACATGTTTATTTCTGCTGTATGGCCTTATGGACTTGTGAGGACTTATGAAGATGGAGGAAGAGGAACTGCAGTTTTGTTACTTCCATGTTGGCTTTATTTGTTGCCACAATTATAATATTCAGTTCTGAAATTTTTGTGCAAATAATTTGAGTGTTTGGTTACACATACAGATTCAGTAATTTATTCTAGATTTTAAGTAATTCCAAAGTTTCAGACCTCTGACTGGCTGCCCACATCTTCAGTGATTCAATCCCCCCCCCGGTTAGTGTATTGAAAGCTATTTCTCTGATTAAAAAAACACCTGAGCCAATCTTTTTTGATAAGACAAAGAGTCAGGATGTCATGTTCCTGTGCCAACTTTATTTATACAGACCTAATGGGTGGGACAAAGGATGTGAACCTCAATCTTCGGTGTCAAAGCCCTGAGCTTTGGAAAGAAAAAGAACAAATAAACATAATGGAGCGAGCAATAATAAGTCCTACAAACTATATTTGGCAAAGCTGCTTTGTAGGATAGGTTGAATAATAATAGGATATAGGACAATAAAATCTCCACTGACATTTGATGATTTAGCAGAACATCTGGAAAGGTTACATTAAATGTAAAGTGACTGGTGTCACCTACAGTCACTCAAAACTATTTGACACATGATGCTGGTGTCAGTCTTCTCAGCAACATAAACTGTAGCAAGTAAAATCATACCACTGTATAAATCAATTTAGTCTTAAAAAGAATTGGTTACATCAATGATTCCCAAACTGTTTCATTTAAAGAGAGTTATTTTCTGGTTTGAAGATATTAAAGTTTTCATAGTTAATCAGTGATAAAACCAGGATCACTATAAATTCAATAAAAACAGCCAACCCTATTTCCCTTGTTCCAACTTGGAACAAGGGAAAAATGTGATAAAAGTTAAAGTATTCTATTCCTCCTTTTGCTGGGGACCCCCTACAACCCACTCATGAACCCCTGTTATTTGAATTAAATTATTTATTGAGCAGATATGTACATTCAGCAATGGCAAGAAGTATGTGTCTCAGCTTGTCAGTCATTCCCAGTTTATGCAATTGCAATACTGTTTATGGACCCCAGTACTCAGAAATATTCAAATACACTGGGTGAAAATAACATTTATACCAGATGCAAAAGAAATGGCTTTGGCCTATTTTTGTCCATGGGGTTAGCACAAAGTGGGCATGTCAGCAAAGGGGTGACATGTAGGTAGCCATAGAACCCATTTTCATTCAGATAATGATGGCCAATCCCAAGTCCCCCCAATGCACAGCATAAAAGAGGACAGTAGCTAAGAGTCCCTGATAGAAAAAAATAAAAAAGCTTGTTGTAATTATTAAAGGATTGTTGCCTAGATATTCAATTGAATTGAATTCAATTTTATTTGTATAGCGCCAATTCATAACAGAAGTTATCTCAGGACACTTTTCAAATAGAGCAGGTCTAGACCTAACTCCTTATAACATTCCATAGATATCCATATTGGTCTAACCCTGTTATCAGACTTTACATTTATATAATGTATGGATAGACTAGAAGTTAATGTGTTTCTGAAAGTTAGAATTTGCTCTCACTGTTATCTTAACAGTTCTTGTTCTTTTCTGGCACTATACCACCTATTAGTCCTAAGACAGAACAGATAGCAGTGTCTAATTTTTGATAACACCTACACACACTGCTGTTGCTGTAGGAGACGGATGATGAAGACGAAGAGTCTTCCTACATTAAGGGGCGTCTCCTGGCCTTCCTGCACTGGCTGGAGGGCTTTGACTGGTTCCAACGTCTCAGAAATAAAAGGCAACAAAACTGGTTTAAAAAAGTGGTTTAAAACCTGAACTCTGCCAAATCTCTGGACACATTTCTGCCTTACCTTTAATTCCCCATTTGAATTGGACCGACTGGCTGATATTGTTCTGCAGATCTGGTCCATGTTATGTGCTCCAGATGTTGTAGTGGGGAAGCTATTATAGGATACAATCATTAGTTAGCAGACCCTTTATAAGGTTTGAGCACTTTCAGTATGTGAAGAAACAGCTATCACTGGAACTCTGATCCTAACACATAACTCTATGGACATACTGCATTAAATAATAATAACACCACACAATATCAGCCAGTGGTTTCACATGTAAAAGTATTTATCTCGGCTTGTCAGGATAATTGGTTTATTGCAACTTGGGTCTTATTTTTTGTCAGTTTAGACATCAGTTTTTTTGGTAATCAGAAGACTGTGTTCATCACTTTAACAGCTGAGCTGAATACTCGACCAGACTGAGACAAATCTTTTGTCCTTCATTCCTATCAGTTCCAATAACATTGTGACTTATAGTCGAGTTAATTGGTGAGATTTGGGAACACGGTGCAGACAAAACCAGTTGATCAGTTAAATTATGACCCAAACTGTCTGTAGACTACTTTCGGTGCCACAGAGAATGGCAGCACGGCATAACAGCTCACTTTCCCCATTCCTACTTCTGGTCTTTTAATCCTTACTTTTTTTAAAACTTTTTTTTTAACTACTTAGCCTTGAATCTATTCTGTATTTAAGACTAACAGTGTAGGTAGTTTGGTTTTAGTTTTTAACCTTGTATAGTTTAGCTTTTTTATTAGACTCACGTATATCTATCACTATATCTTCATAGTTCAGAAGGTTGAGCCTCAGTTTGCTTTCCTGTACAATAAGGGTTTATTCCACATTTCAGGTGCTCTCACTTTAAGTTTGACCTTCAAATAAAGTGGTTTAGATCATTTTATTGACACTATGTTCCCAGATCTCAGCTATTACTTTGGGGAGTACAGTTTTTTCATGACTGATAGAAATGATGAACTAAACTACAAAAAATAAGAGCCAAGGTGTTAAAAAGTGGAATTTCCCCTAAACAAATGTACAAATATTGGTCAAACGCTGGCCCACTGACTACCCATCTGTTGGGCTGGTAGCCATCTTGGTCCACAGCAACCAAACCAGTTTGTGTCCAATGAAGCCAAAGAGAGGATAAGGCTGATTCAGCCGAACGTAACGCCGTCCAGAGTATTTGGCATATGTGGTTGAAGTGCTTTTTCTCCTTTCTTTTTGCATCTGAGTGAAACTTTTGTTTGCACATCTCCAGAATTCATGAAGCCAGATGTCAGTGTGTTTCTATTTACTCTAGCCTGCTGTGTTTTCTTGCTGCTTCCTCTATCAAGATACACATTTAGCAGCAAAACGTTGAAAATACACAACTCCTATCTGATGATTCAATTCACAGCTTCTTGCTGAGAGATCCTGCGCTCAGTTGTCTGACAAAGAGCAGAGAATCTCACACCCTCACCTCGGTTACAACAAGCTCGGTGGAAAATTGCCTGCTCTAAAAATAGCCCTAGCCTAAAGATGCCTGGAAGCTAAACAAGCCACAGTGAACAAAATGCCAGGGCAGGAAGGAACCTCGGAGCAGCGAAAAATGAATCCCACGCTTTTATTTTGTTCTTTTTTTCTTTTTTGGTGGGGTGGAACAATATCACGTTATGTCTTTACATCATGCTGGAAGACTCCATACCCATACATTTGTCACTGGCTTAGTATGATTTCCCTGAAAGATAAATGAAGGAATCAATGATTTGATCTGATTGTTGCACCACGTCTGCTTCAGAATCTGCTTCAATTAAACACCCAGGAGGAAATCACACGTTCTTGCTTTGGAGGGTGAATTATTGATTGTTTTATGAGAAACACAACAGGAGAAAACTGCCACATGTGGGAGATTTTAATTCCAATATAAATGCTAATATCTCTCCTTAGTAAAATTAGACCTGTAAAGGATGAAAATGGAGACAAATCATTTGGCAACCTCAACAGATTGCTAACCGTCAACTGTACTGAGTACAACTAAATCATGGAGTATGTTTTAGAACCGGAGGGGAGGTCAGTTATTTGATTTTCCCTATGGATGCTGTGTGACCCCTCATGTACTCGAGATGCGGCTGAGCCATATTCTGGTTGCATCTCATCGGTGGTTCTCCAAGTGGGTAGGTGTGCTGGTCAGATAAAAATACAGCATTGCTGAGATGGAAAGTATGCCACATGTCACGCTGATTCTGAGTGGTACTGTATGTCACTGGCTTATGGTGCTTATATGGTACATGATATGTCAGTCATGTTCCACTGTCATAATTCAGTTCAGTTTTATTTGTATAGTGCCAAATCATAATAGAAGTTATCTCTGGGCTCTTTTCATATCAAGCAGCTCTAGACCAAACTCTTTTTAGAACTATTTACAGAGACCCAACAGTTCCCACCATCAGCAAGCACTTGGCGACTGTGGCTAGAAAAAACTTAATTTTAAAAGGCAGAAAACTTCAAGCAAACCCTGGCTCTAAGTGGGCATTTGCAACTACAGTTACAACTATAATAGTTGAAATACGAGTAATAATAATAATAATAATAATAATAATGATAACAGCCATGATGATGTTGATTGATGATGAATAATAATTATGATAATGATATTATCAGCCACGATACAGGAAAGCACAATAATAATAATAATAATAATAATAATAGTAATAACTGTTTACACAAAAAATAAGTTAGGCCGGTTTTCAATTAACAGACATTTGTGGAAGATTGTCAAAATAAAACCACACACTCTGAGTCACCAGTTGAGAAAGCATTCTAATGTATGTTGCTGAGCTTTTATATATGATTTCCTCCAAATACAGAAAATTCACACAGTTGGGTAATCTACTATATAAATTACAAAATTATCCTGGAAAATGTGCAACTGAATTTAAAATATAGTGCTTCCTGTATTCTTGAATCACAGTGAATAACAACTTTAACTACAGTAAGGTTGCTGTAAAAATAACAGTAATTGCCGGGCAACCCTGCTGCCACTGGACTGTGATTTCCTGCGCCACATTATCGGTTACTATGATTTGACACTACATGGTTACAGTGATTTTCTACAGAACATCATTCTTACTGTGATTTTTTTCAGTATATAATTGTTTTTTACATTACATTGTTACAACTGTTATTTTCTACTGCTCATTGTTGGTTACTATGATTTTATACAGTATATAATTTGCTACGTCTACACCAGTGACGTGATTTCTTTGATTTATGATTGAATACACAGCATTCTACTGCAAAATAGTTTAGATTAACTCATTGTGGATTTCACAGGCATTTCTCTTACTCATTGGTGCAAAATGACAAAATATTACGTGAAGATTTCACAGATATGACAAAAGTTGACAGTGATAAAAAGGATGCCATTAAAGGCAACACTGATGATGGAAAACCTGTCACTGCTGCTTTCATATGATACAGCATTTTCCTGGTGATCCGCTGGCACACACCAATTCCCACCAGTTTATTATAGACACCAGTGACATGCTGTTATGATATTCCATATGTCAAACCTCTAGTCAAAGTGGAGAATCCCTCAGCATGAGCATATAAGACTGTTTTGCCAGTGGGAGGTGGTATCTCACAGGGGAACATGAGTGACATACCATTTATGAGTGGCATACGCAGATGAAATGGCAGTTATCACTCTGAGTTGACAGATGCCTTTAAAATAAAATCTTACCCTACATCCTCTCCTCTCCCTCTTAGCTGCTTAGCTGCTTGAGGAAGCAGATAGAAAAGCTCTCTGGGCCTTCATCTTCATCCCCTTCCTCCCTACTGTTGACACACACTGAGGTTGCATTAGAAAATCAAAGCTTCTAGTATCTACAAACAACCCTCCCCTGCTTCTGCCTCTTGCTGGCATTGTTTTAAATGCTGTGGTAGTCACTAATCAGGCCTAGGTCTCTTTATTTGAAATGCTTTGATATGTTTAGGTCTTCATTACAATGACTAGAGCACTATGATGGTGTGTTCTGAAGTTATGGGGTTCTTTCCACGTGAAATGTCTATAAACTCTAGAGCTATGTTCTATATGTAGTTGAGATTTGTACTTACATAATCCCAAATGTTCAAACTCAGAGAACCTTTATACCTTTATTCAGGTAACGCTGCATTTCACCGGTCATCTGTCAATAGCATCATATCCCTGTTGTCTGCCAGAAATTGTCATATATTGACTTTTTATCCAGTTTGAAGCCACATTGTTACCATCCACTGTTTAGATCTTGGTGCTTTTTAACTCTAGATTTAAACCGGATGAATGATTTTAGTCATCGGACGTCTGGATCTTAAGTGATCAGAGAAGCCAGCTGAGCTAATGCTAGCAGCCACATAGATATATTTGTGGCTAATCCAGTCTCATTCCCAAATCGTCAAATACTTCAGCTTGGTCAGTGGCCCTCCGCTTCAAATATGACATTTCATATTTATTATTACTAACTTCCATGGAATTGACGCAAGAGGGTACCTACAGTGTCACATTTTAAAGCAGAGGGCCACTGACCAAGCACCAGTATTTGACGAGGTTGGGAGTTAGAGCATGTCGTTGTGGCTGAACTCTACAAGTCATGCCATGATATTTCTATACGCATTTGACTGATGATTTTCCTAAAAACTAAAAAAAAAAAGCTATACTATAAAACTATAAAAATAATAACCCCAGCTTCAAATTACTAGAGTGATTTTTTCAAATAAAAGTGTCCTGGTAGACCAACCTGAATTCCTTCTATCCTTTGTCCTGACTCTCCCTTTGTGTTGATCCTTCTTCCCTGCAGAATCACATCGCCTTCGCTGAGGTCACATGACGTGGAGTCGGCCGTGTGGCAGACCCATTGGACATCCACGCTCTTCACCGTCCAATCCAATTAACCGGAGCGCAGCGCTAAACCCATTCTCTGTGTGTGTCTGGTCTGCGGTATGTTGTTCTATGTTGTCTTTATTGGGCCCTTGTTGTTATTTGCAGCTTCTTGTATTCAAGGAAAAAAAAAAGAAGAGTCAGTAACTCAGCGGGAACAGGTTGCTTCTGCTTTCTCCATCTATGCACTTATTCACAATCTTTGTTAGACTCTGACCTCCCAAATGAAGCTTGTTGTGTGGGAAACCACGGAGCGGACTTGTTACACACTGTGTGGGACACTAGAAGAACAAGTGAAGACCTGAGGTGCACCATCTCAACTCTCCCGAGGTCAAATATTGTCTCATGGTTTGGTTAGGTTGTGTGTGGAACAGCACTGATCCAATAAGATGGCTGTAAGGAGAACCAGTCAGAAAGTTGAGTGAGAGTGTCCAAACAGGGAGAAAGATTAAAAATCCTCTCTTTATGATTTTTCTTTTTGCTGTTATCACATCCAGAAGACTGCTGTGGATATCAGAATGTGACACTGACTACTGGGTCCATATTTATCAAACTATTTAAGGTGAAATTTTGGACAAAAACCCCTTTTGGCTTAAAATGCAGCTAATGTAGCTCCAGAGGGCTCTTAAGTTGCTTAAGAGTACAATATTAGGGGAGCGACTAGGAGAATACTGTTCAATATATCATGAACAATGACTGAAGCAACAATATACAGTTGTGCTCATAAGTTTACATACCCTGGCAGAATTTGTGATTTCTTGGCCATTTTTCAGAGAATATGAATTATAACACAAAAACTTTTCTTTCACTCATTGTTAGTGGTTGGGTGAAGCCATTTATTATCAAACAACTGTGTTTACTCTTTTTAAATCATAATGACAACAGAAACTACCCAAATGACCCTGATCAAAAGTTTACATACCCCAGTTCTTAATACCGTGTATTGCCCCTTTAACATCAATGACAGCTTGATGTCTTTTGTGGATGAGGCACTTTTTTTTCTCAGATGATGAAGCTGCCCATTCTTCTCGGCAAAAGCCTCCAGTTACTGTAAATTCTTGGGCTGTCTTGCATGAACTGCACGTTTGAGCTCTCCCCAGAGTGGCTCAATGATATTGAGGTCAGGAGACTGATATGGCCACTCAGTCACCTTCCCTTTATTCTGCTGTAGCCAATGACAGGTCGGCTTGGTCTTGTGTTTTAGATCGTTGTCATGTTGGAACGTCCAAGTACGTCCCATGCGCAGCTTCCGGGCTTATGAGTGCAAATTTTCCTCCAGTATTTTCTGATAACATGCTGCATCTTGCCATCAATTTTGACCAAGTTTCCTGTGCCTTTGTAGCTCACACATCCCCAAAACATTGGCGATCCACCTCCGTGTTTCACAGTAGGAATGGTGTACCTTTCATCATAGGCCTTGTTGACTCATCTCCAAATGTAACGTTTATGGTTGTGGCCAAAAAGTTCCATTTTGGTCCCCAGAAGTTTTGAGGCTTGTCTCGGTGCTGTTTGGCGTATTGTAAGCGGGATGCTTTGTGGCATTTGCGTAGTGATGGCTTTCTTCTGGCGACTCAACCATGCAGCCCATTTTTCTTCAAGTGCCTCCTTATTGTGCATCTTGAAACAGCCACACCACTTTACAGGAGAGTCCTGTAGTTCAGCTGAAGTTAATTGTGGGTTTTTCTTTGCATCCCGAACAATTTTCCTGGCAGTTGTGGCTGAAATTTTTGTTGGTCTACCTGACTGTGGTTTGGTTTCAACAGAATCCCTCATTTTCCACTTCTTAATTAGAATCCAGTGCAGCACTGGATGAAAGATGCAAGGGTCTGTCAGGAGCTCAGAAACTCACTGACCTTTTATACACAAACACTGATTACAAGCAAACAGATCACAGGTGAGGATGGAAAATCTCCAGGGTATGTAAACTTTTGATCAGGGTCATTTGGGTAGTTTCTGTTGTCATTATGATTTAAAAAGAGTAAACACAGTTGTTTGATAATAAATGGCTTCACCCAACCACTAACCATGAGTGAAAGAAAAGTTTTTCTCTTATAATTCATATTCTCTGAAAAATGGCCAAAAAATCACAAATTCTGCCAGCGTATGTAAACTTATGAGCACAACTGCAGTTCAGCATTAGGTAGCCGCTGCTGAAGAAACAAAAAGACAGACCATCCAAAATACAGGAGGTTATCATATTAGCTTAGCATATTCATTTTATATGAACCTACTACCACTATACACAGTATAAAGAGAGAGAGAACATGTACAAAATGGCCAGATACTTAAATAAATGATTAAAGAGCTGTACAGAAATGTGCGTATAGTGTGACATTGACATTTGCAATGTGCAAGATAAAAACAACAGAAGTAAATGGTAATGGACTGTACTTACAGACATTATTGTGATGCATATATACAGGGTGGGTTTAAGCGTCAGTGTCAGTGGGGGTCTCAGGCCTTGTTAATGAGATCAGCTGCAGACAGAAAGAACTGTGGCGTGAGGTTTTGGTCCTGATACCTGACCACAGCCTCCTGCTATATAGAGCCACGTCATTACGTGGCTGTATATCAATATTACCTATTGTCACGAAGGTTACACTAGCTGTTTCATGTCACATTTGTAACATCTGTGTTATGTATCTGTGTAGCTAATAAGTACATAGCTTTTTGCACACAAAGTGCCCCAAGTCCCTGAAATAAGTCATTCTTTGTTCTGAACCAGCACAGGAATCCGTTTCCTGGCCAAGACCCGGTTTGAGACTGGTTTGAGATCAAGCACTGGCTCTGAACGAGCCCTCAAACATGCCTTGGTGGAGCTAGCTGCTAGTTCCCAACTAGTTAGCTCAGCAGTTAGAGTAGTTCACCAGCTAGCCCAAGGTAGTTAGCCACCACCTATTTCAAAGGGTCCGCTGGTGTATTTTGTTGTGCCACTTCCTGTACTGCACGGACTCTAAGGCTGGAATTGATTTTGTTTGCAGTCTCCATACATTTTTTCTCTTCATTTATCTGTTTTTTCTAGATTCCCCTCTTTATGTTTTCTCAGTGCATACCAGGAGCAGAGTTTCCTCCCTTGTTTTTCATTTATCTCCATTTAAAGCAATTCCCTATAATTTCAGTCCTATTTATTAGTTGGAGGATGCTTGTCAGGGCTATCTATGCTGTATGTGAGTAAACATGCACAGGGGTTGTTCATATTAGATGTTATGGCTGTTTATTTAATTATATATACTTAAATCTTACTTAATCTGCCTACTGACAGCAGTGAGGAGACAGTGGTGCAACCTGACACTAAGGTCTGCACCAAGTGTGGCTGACTCCTCTGTCCTCTGAATTCTGTCTTTGAAAAATCACAATTCCAGCCTTAGTCCCTTTGTGTTTTAGAACAGGCACAGGTCTATCCATGCAAGAATAAAACTTTACAAATGCTTGCTTTAAAAAGTGTGTCCCTGAACCTTTTGGGAGTGCAATACTTTATCAATTAAGGACTCCTTAAAGCTGCAGTAGGTAACTTTTATAAAAAATAACTTTTTTTGTCATTATTGCTGTGAAAAAATCAGGTTCCTCTGGCTCCTCCTAGTGCTCCTAATGGCATTTCTGAGAATCCACAGGGCTTGAACTAAAACAACCATTCAGAGCCAAGAAAGATAGTGGATTGTTGAGTCCCAGAAGAACCTGATTTTTCACAGAGTATCTATCTCATGTACTACTGTTAGGATATAGTGAAAGGTTCAGCAAATATGACAAAAATTATATTTTTATAAAAATGACCTACTGCAGCTTCTAAGTATAATTCTTGAAATTTTGATAAATATGAGCTCAGGTCAAAGTAGCAATTAGGAAAACTGCAAAGCTTCACGTCTTTGTGTTCATGTGTCACTGAGACATCTCTACAAGGGTTTAGGGTATATGTACAGGAGTGTATAGGTGTGTGTGTGTGTGTGTGTGTGTGTGTGTGTGTGTGTGTGTGTGTAAAGTATACATTTAACTCAACCAATGAAACACTGTATGCTCTGGATTCTAACAAAAGCCGCACCAGACAATCACCACCTCCCTCTTTCTTTCCTTTGTATCTTCTCTTTTTCTTGTAGTTAAAAATAGGTATGGGGTGTATGGTGCAGGTATAATAATCCAACACTGTACATGAGGTACGGACGTGGTGGAAAGAGCACACAGTCTCTGCAACCCACTGTCAAAAGAATGCAATTTGCTTTCCTTTTTTCATATGAAAGCTAAGAAAATACAAAGGTCAGTCTGACTCACAGGCCAAAACTGAGATTTTTGCTGTATGCGTTTATAGTCAGATATAATTAGTTCTTCTTGTGTCCCATCTGATGTTTTCTGCTGTGTCAAATCAGGTTAGAGTGATGTAAGAGAATCCACAGTTGAGATTTTTCCTCCTCTTTTCTCAGAGAAAGTATTTATTCATGGCCTGTGTCTTCAGTATCAAAGAGACACAGAGACATGCAGGGCTGCCTTCACACTGGGGGGCAAGGCAGTCTCTGTGGTTCCATCTCACAGCCAATCAGGACATGGACGCCTTTGATCATCACTGGCGAGGTTACACGTTTTGTTGTTGAAATGTTTTGTTTTGTTCTATTTCTATCATGTAGCTCAGTGTAACATTAAACATGAAAGAATAATTTTATTTGAATCTGGTTGGCTTTTTAGTTCCATTTCGATTACTGTCCCTCATAAAGGATATAATGCATTTCTTTTAACATATAAATGTTATTCATATTCCTATTTTATTAGTTGTCTATTAGAAAGCCTGAACTTATCACAATCCAGAGAGACTTTTTCAACTCCACACAAAACACTATGTTGGTCATTAATAGTCACATTTATGAAGCAATCAATCAATCTATTCCTTCACATTAACAGAATGTCATGTGTTGCAAGTGCGATAAAACATATTAGAAAAAAATATATAAAGAAATATAACTGCCACGCCAAATATACTATAACTATAACCATGACTATAAATGTATCTTTTTAAAAATCTTTCTAAATTGTTCATTGGCGAACAATATGGTTGGGATCTTTTTCAGAGTGATTTGATGAACAATATTGTGGTATGCAACTTATTAAATGCCTATATAACGAAATACTAGGCTGCAAATCACACGTAAAAAAACGCCATTTTAACTGAGACATACTACCAAACACTCTTTAGCGCTGATGGGATCCCTGAAGACCTTAATTATGTCCTCTTTTTTTAATCAAGCTATGAATAAAATTTGTCTTGTCTCTTATGTTAAATTCTCCTAATTTTTCTCTTCTTGGAAACTGTTTTTCTTTTTGTTTTTTGCGCAACATACTGAAGTAATCAGTATCATAACTTAATCCTTTTTCCCATTAGTCACATCATTTTTATAGTTATTGTTCTTGGTGTGGACGGCCCTTGCGTACAAATTCAACAAACAAGAGCTGTGCAAACAGCTTTCGAGCGAGAAACAAAACATTTAGGGGTGGAAACCAAGGTAGGCACTTATGACTGACCTTCTTGTACCTCGAATGACAGCTTCTGTTGCCTTTTTTTAAAAATACAAAAATTAATATATATAATACAGAAGGTAAGTAGGCTAGAGTGACAAACAAAAGATTTCCCCAAACAGAAACTATTGGGATCTAATATAATTTGCTTGTGAGCATGTTTTATTGTGCTCGCAACATATGACATTAATCTGATGCCATACAAAGTGTCTTGTTTGTTGTCTTCTGCAGATTCAAATAATTTATTTCAGTGTGCACAAAACTGAAGACTGGATGCAGGGAGTAACTTCTCAAAGGGCCAGTGTGTAAGATTTAGTGGCATCTAGTGGTGAAGTTTCAGATTGCAACTAACTGAACGCTGCTTGCGTCTGTATTTGTAGATAAAAACAGCTCTTTCTAAAGTAACAAAAACACTGCGATTCTTATTTTCAGGTGATTATACACTAATAAAGGCCTTCCCCAAGGATATTATTTTCCATTTCTGACAGTAGATCCTCCTAAATGTCACACACTGGACCTTTAACATTGACCACCTTTTGTTTTTGTATCTTAAATACATGATGGATGAATACATAATAGAGCACTGAAATTATTTCAAGGTGTACTTTTTTGCTCTTTTCATGTAACTAGTCTTTCTGTACTGGAGTCTGTTTACATATGGCATTAACTTGTGTGTCAGGTAATATATTCACAACACCTGTGTCTCCACATGCGTCTTGAGTGGCCACTTGTGATCAGATCTCACTGCCCTGCTCTATATGCAAATAAACATGTACGTTATTCCTGTTAACAAAATATTGCACAGTGGTAGCCAACATGCTGGGAACTTTTTTTGGACGTTTGCCGAATTTTTATAAAAAAAAAACATTGTCGTAGACAGCGGTTTCTTTAAGGGAGTCTGGGGATTTTGCAGTTATTAATTGATCAGTTAAAACACTGTTCACAAAAACCTGCTTGCATATAATTTGCATTACAGTGAAACAAATAGAAAGCTGTTTTATGTGAACATACAGGACGTCAGTTGAGTAGGTGGCTCTTCACTGTGGTCCAAGACGCATTAGGGCTTACACTACAAAAGATATGTGGTTAACTGCATCCCAGACCACCTCAGCAAGTGGTTTGAGCGATCGGCTCACAATGTGTCTTGGTGGTCGTTTACACTTGTATTTAGAACTGTCCACTTGTGATCTGATCACCCAGGATGCATGTTAATACCAGCTGTAAACAGATATGCTATCCATATTCTCATGTTTCCCCAATTAAAACAGCAAACAAATATATTTCCCAAAATGCAGAAGCACATTACAATAACATAAAAGACAGAAAAGCAACAAACACATGAACATGCTGAAACAGCTAATGTAATGACTTAAACCTGCATTTATTTATAGTTTTGGCTAGTAGCCCCAGTTTGTAACATAACCCATTTGTATATGTATATATATATGTGTATATATAATACATATATGTATTATATACATACATTTTCTTATGCAGCTGGTTAGAGAGACTTTAAGGATTCTGGAAATACTGTAGGAGCCCTGGTGCCCTTGGGGTTAAGGTGTCAGCCATGAACGGCAGCGTCCTTGGTTCTGCATACAGCCGAAGACCTCTGTCACTTCTTTACTGAGGCTCTCTAATAAAAATATCAACTTTTAAATTAAGTTTAAACAAAACATGATATATTGCTCTGTGTCTGCTGAATGTGAAAGTAGGCTAACCATAAAAAGGTTAGCCATAATTAGCTAGTGATTTGTAGTGGCTCTGTCTCTTTTAGGTTGTTTTGATGCTTTTTCTGCCCCCTAGTGGCCAAAAATGGATGAATGCAGCTTTAACTGGATCATCAATTGATTAATTTAGTCTCTTTTGATTAGCTGATTGTTTAAAGCAGTAACTAACATTACTGTTAGCAACAAGGGGACACATATAATGTATATTTGCATTGTGTCAAACTACCACCCTTTGTTTGGATTAAATCATTCTCCTTTGTAGCAATAACATGTCAGGCTTTCTTTCCCATCAGGAGAGAGGATAAGAATGCATTGAAGGTCTAATTCTGTTGCCCCTTCAAATCTCTATTTTTGTAATAATCACTGAAGCACTTATGAATAAGGACTCCAGGTAGGAACATGCAAAAAGCAGCACTTTAAATCAATATGTAACTCCTCTCATTGCTAATGAAATGGCCACCCATGTTGCTGCTTGAAAACAGACATCATACAGAATATTCAGGACTCTAAAAACAGAAAATCTGCTCAAATGTGCATCGCAAGAACTACACTATCCTAGTATATTTAAAGGAAAAGAAAATTGATATATATATATATATGTATATCCTTTTGGTCATATTCTACATTACTGCTGTCTATTTTCTTATGACTGTGCACTGTGTGAGTGTTTACGATAAATGTTTATTTTACTCCTCAGATAACTGTTATTGCTTCTTCATGTCATTTTACTAAAATTAGGTATATTTCATGTTATTGTTCTGAATTACAAGTTACATTTTTATACTCTGTTTTGTGAATAGTGACATTCATGTTCTTCATGTTAGTATTTATGTTCCGTATCCTGCTGTGTATTCCACATCTTTCCTCAATTGAGCTTGTTCTGAGACATAACTTTTCTAAACTTGTGGTTTTTATCTTTTTTCCAACACAGTCATGTGGTTTCTTTGATTCTAGTGGACCATTTTGTATGGATGTTGTTGCTCTTCTTCTATTCTAGTTCTTTTTATATTATGCATCTTTCTTTTTTTCAAATTTCCCTTCTTTTTAACTTAAGTTGAAATTGTGACCTTTTACACTGTAAAAAAAAAGGAGAAATTTACAGCTTTTTAATAAAAAATATTGAAAGTGATCAAACAGAAATTGTTTCATTCTTCTGTTTTAAAAGCAATGTAACATGTATGATGTTGAATCTGTACGTCATTTTTTGAATATCAGTCATGTTCCATTCAATTTATTTCATGTCGTGGTACTTTTAAACAATACAGAATATTTTAGAGGCAGTTTTTTAAGCCTTCACAGTTTCAGTTTTGAAGGACAACCTTTTGAGCATTCTGTTACAGAGTCCTAAACCATAAAAATGGTGGAGATTTTTACAAATAATATATAAATAGATTCCAAGAATCCACAAGAGAAAGAGGAAAAAAAGTTTCCCAAACAGGTATACTCAAGTGTAGTCGTCAAATGCAAATTAAATGAAATTTAATCTGTGCACAAATACACTGTGGCATGATGGCATGAAGAACACTGTGTCCAGACTAAATTTCCATCTTGCTTCTGTTTGTTTGATCAAGATCACAACCTCCACTTGTGGATGTGATGAGTTAAATTGCCCAGAACTTCAAGTCTGTGTTCTTGATGAATAAAATGTGTGGCAGAGGTGTACAATTTGTCCTTTCTGTTAATACAGCTTTTATGTTTGATTATCCCACTGCATTTAGTTTGGTTGTGGTTTGTTTTGTGTACGCAAACACGTAGTTAAAAGGAAGTATATCTCCGGCCTAAGAGGCTTATGTTATGAGGGTGGGTAATGTTACAGTTTTACCAATAATTGGGGGTTATGGATGGGAAGTTCTCCAAATTAAATGGCAGAATGTGTTCAATCAGCAGGCTGCTCGTTCTCCCAAGTCGTCAAATATGGAATCTTGATCTAATCTTAATCTTTGAACTAGGACAGAGGAGGTACCCTGTAGTGTCATTTCTGGATGTGCCCGTCTGATGTAATGTTTTGATGTGCCATTGAAGTCAGGTGACATAGTATAAATTGTGAGAAAGTCTGCATACAGAGGAGGCTTGGGTGGATGGATAGGATCAAACAAACACAAGACTTTCAATCAAAAGTCATTACGTATTTATTTTGGTCCAACCACAATTTTTTTTTTAAACCTTACCACTTTTGTGCCTAAACCAATACAGTGACCATTCAAACTGACTGTGAAATGTTTCTCAGCAAGTTTTAGTTTGAAAATCTAACTGCATATTAATTGTTGCTAACCATGGAGCTCTGCAAATAAATATCTGATGCTAGAGGATACCTAAGGAGACCTGATGTTGAAGCATAGGACCACTAACCAAGCTTCCGTATTTGACAAGATGGGAGTGAGAACGTGTTGCAGCAGGATCATTTGTCTGTGCCTTCTAAAACTGTTTACTGTTGGAAAATAAATCCACTGAATGAAGTGATAATGCTATGGTGACGGTTTGGTTAGGCACAAGAACATCCTATTTAGTTTTCCGGATCATGGTATGGATTAAAACTACTTCATTAAGGTTAATGTGGTTTAAACAAAACAACATTGACTGTGTGGTTACTGAGCCATCCATGCACCCCAACCTCCTCCTTTTACAGTATTTGTCACTCTACAACAACGTCACCTGACTTCCTCCTTTGCTCCCATCATAATTCCTATTCATGGACAGTGAGGAAAATGTCAGTGCAGTCTATACATGCTCATACAGTTCTGTAAAGAGGTGTATTCAGGCAAAACAAGTAAAAAACCTTTGTGTGTGCACTGTTGGAGTGTAGGGCCTTTAAACGTCATAATGTTCCCAGGAGGGAGCAACTCAACCAGAGCGCTGAAGATGAAGACACATTAGCAAGTGACCTTTTCTACTGAGTCAGTGAAATGAAGCAGGGCCTCATGGCTAACAAGACTGTCTCCATATAACAGGGACTCTGTCCTGATAAACCCTTACACCTCTCAAGGGAGTGCCATTACATAGTTCTAATTGTGCGTGTATTAGTCACACTACACAGAATCCTAAAGGTGTAGTGAGGACTTTTGTCCCCTGTCAAAGTGAGATGATGTACTATAATGAGCTAAAAAGTCCACATGGGGAGGTGAATGGATGGCTCAACCAAATATGGGACTAACCCAGGGGGTCGCTGTTCATGTCCCATGTAAGCATGTCCCAGCATGTCGATTGGCCGAGCCAATTGGTTTAATAATTCCTACGGCTGCTAGTGAGCACTGTCACTTGAAAGTAAACAGATGTCGTTCGGGGGGACTTGCTGAAACCACTGCTTCTGTTGTTCTTCTTGGGAGGACTGTCTCT